AGAGTGCCCATTTCCCCCATGAACGACATGCCACCGCTCATATTCCGGGAATAATGCACTTCTCGGGATCGGCTGTGTTCCGACTTCTAAAGGCAACAGACGGTATGTTTTTGTCTGCCTTCCACGACTCAAAATGAATACCATGCCAGAGAATACAGAGGAGAGGGTCATATGGTCATGATTTGCAGATTTAGCCGACATGCAGTGTATAACATTCCTCGAGTTCAGAGGAGAGAGAGACAGAGAGAGAGAAAAAACCCTACAGTCTAATGCCAACTGGATCTTCAAACTGTTTTGACATAAACAGATCTTTTGCAGAAAATTATCCAAACGACAACACCGAGTCCCCATTTTTTCCCTTCCTGAAAGGACGGCGTTCCTCACAGGTTCACTTCTCTTTGGGTCTTTCATCCCTCTCGGTGTTGCTTTTGTCGTCAGACCAATGCCGTATCGAAGCCCAGCCCGCTCCAAGAGCCCCACTAAACCAGCATGTTTGCATAGTTCCAACCAAAAGAAATGTTTGTGCTCTGAAAAAAAGCCTTGAGGCTATAGTGGGTGGTGAAGGGGTGGGGGTGTTGGAAGAGCCCCTGCCTCTTTTCTCTGTCCCATGTAAGAAAGGTTCAGTCAGCAGGAGCTGGCATTTGCCAGGCTTTGGTGGTTTTGAAGAGGCTGTAATGTCAGCCATTTTAAGATGGACACTACAATGGGCGCTGTGCCGCCATCTTTCCTTCTTTTCGCCTTAATTCCTCCCCTTTTATGAGCGTCTGTATTCTTGGCTACGGAGCGGAGGAAGTTATTCATTAAAAGTGATGTAAAAGGATTCGTGACTCAGATGCTTTTTTGGGTTTATTTGCCTGTCATTCATCTGGGCTGCAGATGGGAGCGTTGGTACGACGAGGACTCCATCAGACGCCAGGTCGGAGGGCGGCGAGGTACACACCGTACCGCCTCAGCCGGCAAGGCCTTCGCGACGGTTTCACAGGACTAAAAACCCCCCAGATTGGGGGGGATCATTTGTAGCTTGTTCAGCTGTGATATTCCTCCCATCAGGCCCCGTCAACCGGAGCAACACAGCTGCGGGGGGAAGCAGTCGTGGGCCTCGACCAAAGCTGAACCTCGCGCCTTGTGTGGACTTTTCAAACCCAGCCGGCGGGGCGTTGGGATTAGGTTTGCCCCGCTCCGGATGCAGTCCAAGGAATTCACCATGCGCGTGTGTGTGTGTATTTGTGTCTTGCTGTTTTGGTGGGTGTGGACAGGGGACTGTGTTGTGTGTGGCGTGGTGGGCAAGGGGAAGAGTGGAGTTGCCATGGCAATGTTAACACATGAGTGGCATCACCGACCAGTCTCCCAGTGGAGGCTGCAGTTATGGAGGTAAAAGGGTGGGGTGTGTGTGTGTATGTGTGTGTGTGTGTTGGTGAGGAGAAGCACGAAGCTGGCTAACAACACCTGCGTCTCAGACATTCAGACATCACTACGAACACAAACACACCCATCTGAAGGAAAGAAAACAAGCAGACCACTCGCCAACTCCCCGTTCCCCTCACTGCCCAGGGTCTTCATCTGGGCGGGAGTGGGGACCTGTAGGAGCGCCGCGCTAATGACTCCCATGACTCTGTATCGCTTTTCTGCACACGTACACCGCCATCCGTGCTCAGAGTGTAAAACCTGCCTGTCCATCTTGTCCCAAACACTTCCCCCCACCCCGAACCGGAGCGTACTGGACAACTGAGCAGCCCGAATTCGCAGGAAAAACCGAAAGAATCGCAGACGGTCCAGTCAGCCATCTCGAGCCTCCCGGCGCTGGATCACGTTCATCCGTATAAATGAGGCACCATTGTTCCCAGTGCTCCTCTCTGTGGAAGACTGTCGTTTTCCTCTGTCCCTGGCTTATATTTGGGTGTCCAGCTGATCCACTCACATGACATTAATCTCTTTAATGGATGTTTGGCAGAAACGTTTTTTGTTAAACAGATTTTTTTTTTTTTTCAATCATTCAAATGTCTGACAGACGTACCCCCCCCCCCCCGCCCGCCTTCTTCCTCTCCCTTCAGGTTTTCTCCACTCTTTTTTTTAAGGACACTGAAGACAGCCGCAGATCACTGTCAGAGCAAATTACACACAAAACAAATGTTGTCATAAGCTTGAGGATTTCTGCTTTTATTTTAGTGTTTTGGGTTTTTTTGTTCTCGTTTCTCGTTTTGTGGGTGTGTGAGCGTGTGCGTGCGTGTGTGAGTGTGTGTTCTCGCCCCTCTGAGGCTGTCACACCGTGACGCTCTTTACCAGCTCCTCACTTCTGAGAGCGAAGATTTGGAGAGCCGTGCAGGTGCTAAATGGTGCGGAGGTGAGGAGGGAGTGTGTGCCTACGCAGGGTGTCAGCAGGGAGGAATATTGAAACGGCACAGCCTGTCATCATCCTCATCATCATCAGTCATCCTCTCACTTCACACCCAAACGTCTGAGTTTCGTCTTCCTTTGTCCTTTCCTCTCCTCCAGCCTTCATGTGACAAGACAACGATGACCAAAAAAAAAACAACAAAAAACGCAGGTCCACGTTCGCCCGACGTCAGCCGTAGGTGACCCAGTGATCTGGGAGTGTCTGAATTGGTGAACTGTTTTGAATTAAATTTTAGTGTCTAGCAGCCACTTTGCAGCCTCGCTCCTCTTTTCCACTGGTAGCGACTTGCTGTGGATTGGGGATGGGATTCTTTATTTATTTATTAATTTTACTGTTGTAATATTGTAATTACTGCAGCAGTTTATGAGGGGAGGAGAGGGAATACACTCTGGTTTCTCTTAATTGAATTGCTCAAATAGGAACAACATGCTCCAATATACAAAGCTTTGCCAAAGTATTCACACCGCTCGAATTTTTTCACATTTTGTGACTTTATTGCCAGAAACCTCTGTATTTTATTTGAATTTTTCTGTGACAGGCCAACAGTAAGGAAAAGGAAAATGTTACACAGCGCTTTTTTTTTTTTTTTACTAATAATAGTGTGGTGTACATTTGTACTCAGCCCCTTTTTGCCAACTCCCCTAAATAAAGCCCTGTTTGCTCTAGTTCAGAAAGTCCTGTTTGTTTGAGGAGGTATAAATGTGCAATTGAACCCTGATGCAGACCAAAAATCAAATTCTGGTCTGCCTAAAAACCTCGGCGAACTTAGGGCGCATATGTGGATGCAAGTGAGCCAGAGACCACACTAAAAGCAGGAAGTGGACTATAGTGCATTGAATTCTGGGTAAATACAATAAAAACAAATGTGCGACTTGAACACTAGCGGGAGAAATGATTTGTGGTCTTTTATCAGAGACAATAGAGAACTTCTACAACTGCTAAAATACAAATAAATTAGATTTTTGTTTTCATTTTGTGAAGAAGGAAGTTGCGCTCGATGTCTTCTTCTGAGGTATTCCTGTTGTTTCATTCAGTGGTTCTTGGTGTAGCCCACCACAGGCGAGGAGAGGAGCAGGATTTTTGGTTGGCTTGGATAATTTGACCCAGTGGAGTATCAGCTGAACATGTGACAAATGTTGTAATTTTGGTCCCCAATTGATCTTTAGAAAACTTTATGGTCTACAAGGAAAATACTATGCGTAGAGGAAAACCAACTCGCTAAATACACAATGGTAAAAAATGGTGGTGGCAGCATCTTGTAGTGGGGGATTATTTTCTTCAGTGGGAAACATGGGGCTAGTCAGTGCTGTAGGGGAGATGAATGATGCCAAATAAACGATAAGCCAAGAAAAACTGTTCTAGGCTGTAAAAGACTTGGAACTGGGGATTAGATTCTCCTTCCAGCAGGACTACAATCCTAAACACACAGCCGGAAATACGTTTAGATTGCTGCATTCATCTTTTAGTATGCCACAGTCAAAAGGCCAGACCTAAACTCAATTGAGGTTCATGTGCCGAAACTTTAAAATCATTATCCACAGTTGCTCTTCATCCAATCTGACTGGGATTGAGCTCATTTGCAAAGAAGACCAGACAAAACAAAATTTGTTGTCTAGATATGCAAAGCTGGTAGGGACATACAAAAGACTTGCAGCTGTAATCACAGCCTAAGGTGGTTCTACAAACTATTAACTTAGGGTGCCTGAATACAAATGTACGCAACACCTTTTGGAATCATAATTCATTTCCTTCCCACTTCAAAATAATCCACTACTCATCTATAAATAAAGTACATTAAATTTTATGGTTGTAATTTGGCAAAATGTGAAAAGGTCAAAGAGTGTGAATATTTTAAGCACACTGTACAAGAATAGATTATACATCCATCCATTTTCTTTATACCCTTGTCCCTTAGTGGGATCAGGAGGGTTGCTGGTGCCCATCTCCAGCTATCGTTCTGGGTGAGAGGGAGGGTACGCTCTGGACAGGTTGCCAGTCTGTCGCAGGGCAACACAGAGACAAACAACCATGCACACACACTCACACCTAGGGGCAATTTGGAGAGGCCAATTAACCCATGTTTTTGGACTGTGGGAGGAAACTGGAGTACCTGGAGAAAACCCACACATGCACAGGGAGAACATGCAAACTCCATGCAGAAAGACCAGGAATTGAACCCAGAACCTTCTTGCTGCAAGGCAACAGCTCTACCAACTGTGCCACTGTGCAGCCCATAGATTATACAATTACATACTAATTAGATTTAAGTATTATATTAGGGTTATAAGAGCACACCTGGAGGGGAGCTGTGCTGTAAACCTTAAATCCAGCGGAACATGTAAAACCCCATCAGAATTTAAACCTAGCTTAATCCCATTTGTTTTGAAAGGCTTGTTTTGGGAAAGGGAAAAAAAAATAGCTGAATGGTTCAAACACGGTTTTTAGTCCGGCGTGCGGCAGCCTCGGCGCTCGCTCCGCGCGTGGGCGTTCAGGAAAAAGCCCGTCTGAGAGCTGTGCCACTTCTCGCTCACTTCGGATGCTGCTACTGCTGCGTGGCTCCTCCGGTCTGCTGAGATGAAAAGAGTTTCCTCCCTCTGTGCCACAGAGCCAGTGCCAGCACGGGGACATGCGACACACCGGGGACGGCCGTCGTCTGAGCTGTTGTCTACCCAGCGAGCTGAAACACAAGGCCGGGCCTTTCAGGATCATCCATTCAGCGGCTCCCTGTCTGGACGGCCCTTGTTGTCTGATCGCACGTCTCGCCCGCTACATAAAGCAGCCCATTCTTTTCATAGGTGACCTGATTTTTTATGTAACCTTGCTCAACTTTGGGTTTGTTTTGGGCCTTTTTTCCCCCCCTCCAATTCATTCAGGAAGTGAAGTGGATTATTTTTTTTCCCTGAGACAAGCTTCTGTACAAGGCCAGTCTGGCCACAGAATGATTTCCTCTCCTCTGTGGATTACTTATTATCTCTTAGATCTCTAGAGAAAGATGTTTTTCTCTAAACTATAGTATTGATTAGCGCTTGTTTTGTGCTTTGCTTATACATTTAATTCAATTATCTTGGAAAAATGTTCTCAAAGGAAGCGCTCAGGACTAGGGGTGCACCAATTTAAGTTTTTTGCCTGGTCACCGCTTTTTAACCCTCCAGCTTTCTTAGTATGACGCTCAGGAGGAGCGCAGGGAAGCGCCATCAGATCGTCAGTTCCCGAAACCCTATAAAAAAGAGAAAAACTCATAAAAGCGAATGTGGGGTCCAACTGACCCCATCTCTAAAGACTGCTGGAGGGCTAAAAAGCCTGAGCTGCTGATTCCGATTCTGACTGATGCCAGCTTTTTTCCCTAAAAAGTTACTGAATATAACAACATAGTGCCGATGTTGACAACAGTGGGGTGACTGTTGTCAACCACACACGATGAGAAATGTGACCTGGTGGGCGGGTCCTCTCCCAAAGGCACAGTGGCTGATTTTCAGAGTTAGAGAAGATCGGTGCTTAAAATTGGTTCAAAACTATTGGCCAGGCACCCTGTTCAGAACGCTGTTAGAAACAGCACTTCCTCTCTATGGTGAAAACCTCCAAGTCTTTAAGATGGAAATGCCTCCTTGCCATCACCCTAATCCTTAGCTGTCAGATTCAAAGTCAGGATTCTGGTCACTTCAAAAGTCAGTCATATTACTCCCACCTTTGAAGAAACATGTTCATTGCATTAAACCTATGAATAATTGTGGTGTTTACGGTGTTGTGCTACATGAACTGCATCATTACTCCAGACCTCTCTAAACGAAGAAAGCCACCATGCTGCGGCTGCATATCTATACTATAGGACCACGTCTAAGGCAGATGGCTGTTGCGTGAAAGCTGACTCGTAAATCTCTCGCTCAGCGTAGCAATCCCGGAGACTTCTACAGTTGTGGTCAAAAGTGTACATACACTTGTAAAAAATCATAATGTTATGGCTGTCTTGAGTCTTCAAT